GGTAATTAAAATTCCTTGGCCAGCCAATTTAGGATTCACAGCTTAACTCAAGTATCAGACACTACTAAAGTCAAGCCCAGATGTGTTACTTAGAAATAAACATTTAATTTGGGTGGGGGTGACACAACACAGCCATGTCTTTAAATTTGAACCTACACTTTTAAATATGTTTCAGCAAACTGCTGCAGACAAGTCCAAATTTAAGTGTAATCCCAAAACAATGGATCCCAAAGCAATGGATATAGTGCAAACACATGCAGATTTCTAAAAAACTACTGTGTGTGTTGGGAAAAATGACAACATGGTCTCTAAATAGTAATGCCCCTACTTTAAAGGTCAATCATCTCTTGACCTCCTACTTTGGGATTCGCAGTTGTTGAAACTCAATCTCTCGGGATGGTGCCCGGGTACGAGCTTGTTTAACAAGCTCTACTCGGAATTTTTTTCAATGCTTAATTTTGAAATCCACTGGCTTTACTCTTTTCCAACTCTAAAAGTCTGGTTTTGTGAGTCTCTGTATTTGAGTATGCTTTAAACTTAAAACCGTATGTAATTAAATGGGTGTCAACTAGTTCGAGGGGTTTTCTAACATAATAAGCAATCTGATTGGGCCATATAATTTCATGACTTTGATTTAAGGGAAAAAAGGGAGAGCTGGTTATACATAGTCTGTGGCAAGGGCAGATATGGATACCATATTAAGAAGCTCACTGATAACCTGAATAAATTGTTTAGTCTAGCTTTTCCTCCATCAAAATTATCAGAGCTGTTTCCAAGTAGCCAACAAACAGCAAAGTTAACTGACGTTTAATTTCATTTGTCTTCCCTCTGTCTACTCTGCATTGGTGGCATGTCAGAAAACTGTGGAAAGAATCCAGATAATGCAAAACCTGAGCAACGAGCCCCTGGGGTCATTACATCTACTGCCAGAAACACAGAACTAATTCTGGAGTAGTTTCCTCCACACTGCAGCTATAGAGACAATCTCTTACCTAGCCAGTAGGTGGAGGCACAAGCAAACTTACTGCTTTGCTCCTTAATCCACAGGACCTTAAATCTTAGAGTAAATTGGTTTTTCGTTTATATTCATTTGTTTTAAACCCAGGAGATCAAAGAGAATGCAAAAAACTGAACAAGGACAACTGCTGAGGTGAATTTATAAAAAGTGATACAAAAGAACAATTTTATATTTCTATTCTGTTTCTGGCCCTTTTGAGAAATAACTAAGTTATTTTAACTGTGAATTCATAATCCACTTCCAGATCCCAGAGCAAATAAAACAATTCCAAATTTAAAAATACAGCTTTTAAAAATTCATGTTCAATCAGGGAAAACTGAACATCAACCGAATATGACATAATAGTAAGGAATTATTGTTGATTTTGCTAGGTATGATAATACTATTATGGACTGGTATCTCTCTATACCTATATATCAAGTCCTTATTTATAAATACAAACAGGAATATTTATAGGTGAAATGATATGACTTTAGAAATCACCAGGAAAAAGTGAGAAGGCGACAAACGATAAGAGACGTAAATACAGAGAACAAACCGCAGGTGGCTGAGGGGATGGGCATTAATGAGGGCGTTTGTTGTGATGAGCACTGGGTGTGCTATGTAAGTGATGAACCACTAAATTCTACTCCTGAAGTCATTATTAGACTATATGTTAACTAACTTGGATTTAAATAAAAATTTAAAGAAGAAATCTCCGGGGGATGGGGGGGGGGGAGACAGTAATAAAGGATAGACAGAACAAGAATGGCAAAAAGTTGATAAATGTTGAAGTTCCGTGATAGGTACAATGAGGTTCATTATACAATTCTCTTTTTATTTGAAATTTTCCAAAACAAGAAGTGAAGAAAATTAAATTATGATGCCACATTCTTGTGATCTAGGTTAACACTGAGATTAGGTGACCGGTAAATATGCAACTTTAATGAAGTCTTATCTCTGTATATAGCCATTGAGGAATTATTTCAATCATGACTGAATCATACCAAAAATTCGCTCTATAAAAAACTAAAACTAACCTGCTAAATCCCCCTGGAAACAATACCTTCCAGTTGTGGAGCGCTTCGCCATTTTACGAGGTGAATTCACACCGTTTTCCTATCTAGTTCTTATGATCTTATGGAGAGTTTAAAGATAAAAAACATGTGGCTCAGAGAAGTTAAAAGACTTGGCCAAAGTCACATAATCAGTAGAAGTGACAGAGCTGGGAACACTAATCCAAGTTTTAAAACACCAAAGACCATCTTCTCTCTACCATACTGTCGCTTAGATCCCCTTGAAACAAACAGTAAACATGATGAAATTCAGGCAAATTTTAAAATTTTGCTTTCTGTGCTCATTACTTGAAAGTATATGATGAAACTGCCTTTTTTGTTTTCTCAGCGAATAAAAATATGGATAGAAGTAGATTTCTTGAATAAAGAATGAAATTAAACCAGAGAAAGTGATTAAAAAAGAATTATAATATTCTTAAAATTGGAAGGGGACGTTAAAGGCCCTCTCTAGCCCAAAATTAAACCCGTACCTTTAGCTCCCTTGGATGCAATCAGCTTTAGCTCGAGCATTTCTAGTGAGGAACTGCATACTCCGTGAGACAGCCTGCTTTACTCACCAGGTCAGTTTTTAATCGCTAAAGGGGCTTTCCTTGCTTACAGGTGAAATCTACCTGCTGCTTGTTGATTCCAGTTACAGACCCTGACTCTACAATGAATAAAACATATAATCCTCTTACATAGGACACTGTTTTAAATAACTGAACACATCCACTATGTCCTACCATGGGCTTCTGCTCTGAGAACTCTTTTAGCAGAGAAAGAAAACCAATTAGATTCTTGAGTCACTAAAGCTTCCCAGTCTTTTCAATAGCTTTTCCATGGTCTTCAGCTGGGACTTGGGTATCTCTGGTAGTACTCAAGTCCTTCCAGGAGATAGGAGAATCAGGATATTTTTAGGGAAATCAATGTCTCTTCCTTCATTTGCCATAATTTGATTTGTCTGAAAACAAGTCTATGTTCTGCTGATTTTCCTTTTACATGTCTATTCATATGAGCCCATCTCAAAAGACAAACTGCTCACCCATCCTGAAAAGCCTGTCTACGAAGCTCCCTTGAGAGCAAAACAGAGCTTCAGAAAGAAAGAGGAGAGCCACCTTATTTCATCTGGACAATATATGCATGCCAAAGCCTTATCTATTTTAGAATTAAAAATCAATAGTAAGATGATTGTCACAGGAATGTCTATTAACACTTTAATTTTATTTGAAATATGAAGGCAGATTTTTCTGTGATAGAAAGCGTGTCTGATTTGGCTGACTGGGTTGACAATGATGACTAGCTTTGCCAGTCAGGTCACACAGCAGATATTTTCTATAAACTGAATGAGATAAAGGTACAGATCTACAGCTTTGAGGAAAACATATTTAAAAGAATATACAAAACACTAAAAACTACAGCCTCACAACAGAAGTTTTTATATATCAACTCAAGAATATGTGAGGAGCTACATGGTTTTCAAAATTCTTTTTAAAGGCATGCCAACAAAACCTCTGAAGGCTGTGACTCTAGAGCAAAATTTCTAGGCTCTTTCCCACCCTGGTTATCCCCTTCTGGAAGCATGCAGTGTCCTGCTTACCGTGAACACTCTAGGGAGAATAGGTAGCATACAAAACAGTGGGACTGTGGCTTGGTTCTAAATACTATATACTTTTAATTAATGTAGCTGAAGGTTCCATTCAGGGCTCTTTTTAAGCTGTTGCAGCAACTAACCTTCAAAACATTTATTTCTTTTTCACACAAGCAGTTACAGCTAAACTTATAATGATCGTGCACTTGTATAATCAAATGAAGGAGTCTCTATTAACTGGTCTTAAATTTCATCTTTGCTTTCGTTCCTCTGCTACAAACTTGTAAAATGTTTTTAAAATTCTGATCTAGATATTCGGTGTGTTAGCTAGCCCTCCATGGGGGTGCAGCTTCTGACATGGGTCCCTAAGATCAGCAGCGTCTGCTCGTATTCACAACTTCGTGTAATCCTCTCCCCTTGGGTGTGAGTTGGATCTAGTGACTTACTTCTAACTGATAGAATATGGTAGAAGTGATGGTGGGTGATTTCTGAGATTAGGTTATAAGACTGACTTCCATCTTATTTGTATTCTAGCCTTCTTGCCTACTCACGCCAGCTGCCATGTTGGGAGTTGATCGATGAAGAGGCCTAGTGACAAGGAACCTAGGGAGGCCTACAGCCAACAGCTCCCAAGGAACGAAGGCTAACAGACTGATAGCCTGCTGCCAACGACCATTTGCGTGGGCTTGGAAGCAAATTCATCCCCACTGGAGTCTTAAAATGACGCCAGCCCTGGCTAATGCCTCGATTACCACCTTGTGAGAGACCCTAATCAAAGTCATGGATTAAAATTTTGAAAAGAGTAGGAGGCCATCCCATAAAGCTTTATTATACAATCTCTTTGGACACAGTTATCCAATCAGCTACAAAACTACCCAGTTATACTCTCCTTAGCTCACACTTCTCCATCTTATTGACAAAAATTCTGTGAGAAACATGTCAAGTGGCTTATTAAAATCAAGATAACACTGCTATCTTCAGAATTTCCTTAATATGCCAAAATGGTCATTTTATCAAAATAGGAAGCTGAGTCTGTTTTAAGTTCGAGAGAGAGGCTTGCTACATGGAGACCTCTACTCCCATCCCGCTCCTCTTCAATAGAACCCCTATGGTCAGAATGTTGTATTTTGGGGCCTCCTGTCCATCTGAACTCTATTTCTAACTTTACAGCCTCTTCTCTGAAATATGCTAAAAAGGAGGGCACCTAAATATGCCCAACTTTTGCTTTCTTGTTACTTTTTTTTTTAAACAGATGAGCTCACAACTATTGTTAAATTTTAAGAGGAAAAAAGTGTTAGCATTATTGCAAACCAAGCCTGCTTAAATCTTTAACTCTTAAGAATATAAAATGTACACTCACAATTCAAAAACCATGTAAAGCATTCCATCTGAGCTATATGTCTCCAATAACTCTACAATGTGGGGATGTTTCAGCATATGACAGATACTGGCTTCCCGCTTTAGATCTGCAAAACAAACACAGGGCATACTTTGTTAGGTAAGAACAAAAGACAATCAGAGTGAATGATGAATGAATGGATATGATCTGTGGTAACATGAAGACTTCTCTAACTAAAGAGATGAAATCCCCCATTAAGCTAAGCTTAACTTTTTACCCTTTAAAATCTTTGACAATATAACTTTTTCATATTCTTGCCAGTCTAAATCTATCTATATTATAGAGTTAGCTCTTATTTTTATTTATTTTAAATAATTAAACTCTGTGCCCAATGTGGGGCTTGAACTCACAGCTCCGAGATCAAAAGGTGCACATTCGACTGACTGAGCCAGCCAGGCACCCCAGCCCTTATTAGTAAGAAATGTAAATAGCACAAATACTTTCCCCAAACTCTTTATATTCAAGTCTCAAAATTTATAATTTTCTTGATCTGCTAATAAATAACTCAATTTGCTGCTTTACATTTTACCTCTTTTCTTAGTTTTCCCTAAATTGGTTAAGAATGTTGTCTATTCTTTAGCCTAAAAGCTAGCATTTGCACACACACACCAGGGAAGTTATATGGAATAAAGGTAAAAAAATAGTATGATTTAAACAGTAAAGGCACTTCTCCCAACGAGCATCAAAGTCATTTTCTGTCATCTACAAAATGCATTTGATAATTCAGGACACTATTCATAGTGTTATCTTGAAGAACAAATTCAGGCAATGCAGGCAAGACTATTGTGTAAGAGTTACAAAATACTGTTTGGAAAACAAAACTGTTAATATCATCATCATCACACACATTTTGGGCATAAATAGCACTTGCCATGTCCACATGGAACAAGATAACGAAAGCCTTCCTATATTAATTGTGCTGGAGTTTTACCTATTGGCAGGTTAATAGAATCCAATGCGACATTTTTATATTTGGAAGTAGAAAGGAAATAGGTAAAGAAGAACCAAGGCTAAGGATGTACTACACAAAGCAAAAGGGATGTTATCTCCTCTCTGATTTGTTAATTCAACTTAGCCTTGTCAATGAGAGCAATGGCTGCAGACTTAGACAAAAGAGAAGCCACCAAAAAGGGAAGAATCGATATTATGAAAGTCAGGGGAATAGAGGGAATTAATGCATGAGTAGTTGGAGAAGGCTGAGAAAAGGCTCTAAGTGTCAGCCAGAAAAGACCATTAGCATTCTGGGCAAGATCAAGTTCTGTGGAGAGGGCAGGTTTGAAGTCAGTATGCAGGAGACAATTATGTAGTGACAGATTAAAATTTATCATGTTTCTCACTGGCCTAAGTACTTAATAGAGCCATTACCATTTACTGTCTGTCCCAACAACCTAAAGAGGCAGATATTTTACAGGTGAGGAAGCTGAGGCCTAGAAATGCGTTCAAGATCACATAGCTACCACAAGGGTAGGTCTGAGTCCTGGCCTGTCCACCTCCAAAGTCAGCAAACAGTCCTTCCACAATGCCATGCCAGGTTTTGACATGATCAAATTCAAAGAATCTGGCTATAGGAAAGAAACAGCAAAGTCGAAGAAGGTCTGATTTGTTTTTCTGGTTTCGCTGTTGTTTTAAAGGGAACACTGTGTTTCTAAGTGGCAGTGATGAAAAACCCATGGGATCTACAGCCGGAAACTTGAGGCAGGTTCTGCCTCCTGCCGAGCGACTGCTACCCTCTAAGGATGCTCTCCTCACTGCAGACGAAATGGGTCAGGCCATAGAAGATGCAGGCCTGGCAGACTACACAGTTGCCTTTAGGGGGCAGCAGTAAGGTTCCCACGAAAAAACAGATGTGGAAGGAGTGTGTGGAATGCAGCACTGAGGGGCTGAGGGGCAGGGTGGCTCATTGGTCTGGGGGAAAGAAAGAGGTGAGAGGCACAAGAATGATGGTCTCCATCTCCAAAAGTGCTTGGAAAGGTCATGCAGGAGAGGAGAGGTGTGAATCAGGTGTGGGTTTCATGCTGAGAAGTCGTAACTATGAGGAAGGCTTTTTGACAAGTGTGCTGGAAAGCCAGGCTGAAGCCACGCCACATAAATCAGGTATCTGCACAGTTTTTGCTCTCCTCCTTCAAGAAAGTTCTGCCTCCAGATTTTATGAAAAGCTCAGTTTTATTACTCATTTTAATTCTTATTTCTTATCTTGCCCCATTCATGGAACTATGGTGTGTTTCAACTTCCGCACTCACTTTGCCATGTGCCACGTTGTTGTACCAAAAGACTGCAAGTAGAAATGGATGCTCTAAAGACCCCTTCTGCTGGACCTGCACATTTCTGCTTGGTACACAGCTCAACATGCTTCCAGTTGAGTCTCTTGTCATCTACTGCTTCCCCCCCCCCACCTCAAAATGAAGGCAGAATTGCTGGGGACCCTCCATTCAAAGACTATACTATTTAACTTAAAAAAAATTTTTTTTAAGTTTATGTATTTATTTTGAGACAGTGAGCAAGCATGAGTGGGGGAGGGGCAGGGGGGGAGAGAATTCCAAGCAGGCTCCAAGCTGTCAGCACAGAACCTGACATGGGGCTCCATCTCACAAACTGGGAGATCATGACCTGAGCCAAGATCAAGAGTTGGACACTTAACCGACTGAGCCACCCAGGCGCTCCAAAGACTAAAATGATTTAAACATCACTGGATCTGGCATTTCAGGGACTAAAAATCAGAACATCGAACAGCATAAAATGAACATAAAAATATATTTGAAATTATAAGGGCAATGATGCAAAAGATGGTTTACACCCAGGATAATTAGGGCACTGTTTTCCATAATTCAAATATCGATTACATTGGTATATTAAATGCTCAAATGGAAAATCATGGTTTAAAAAACACAAATGCATTATATATACATTTAAATTATAGATTCCAGGAGCATTAAATTCAGAATGCTTGTTTCTAGATGTGAATGTGAATTAAAGATGTATTTATTAAGTGCTATTAATTCCTTGCTGATATAGCAAAATAAAAATAGCATTTTCCTACAAATCAACTCATCAGGCAGAGTAGCAAGGAATTCAAAAGTAGGTGATAATGATTTGAAGTTGTGATTATCTGACTGCTTTGAGGTACAAGCACAGAACATGCCTGGGAGTGCCTGGACCGAGGTACCATTGCTGTTTTCGAAGTGCTTCTTTGTCCATAGAAACTGGTAACTCCCTTCACTTTTTCTTGTAGTTTTTCAATTTGTAATCTCTCAGGGAAATTTAAAGGAGTGAATATGGAAAGTAATATTTAGTTTTCTGACCATAACTGGAGAAACACTGAAATCAATCCCTTATGTGGTGTGAGTACTACCACTACTACTCCTAATACCAGGTTCCTAAGAAGTTTTGGACAGTAAAGCAACTATGCCTTGCAGGTTCGACCTCTCTAGTCTGCCCCTCAAGTAAGGGAGAGCTAAGGAAATGGCTTCAGGTGGTCTGTTTTATTTATTTATTTTTTTGAAGGGGGGGGAGAGGGAGAGAGAGAATCTCAAGTCGGCTCCACGGTGGAGCCCTAGGTGAGGCTCGATCCCACGAACCCTGAGATCATGACATGAGCCAAAATCAAGAGTTGGATGCTTAAATGACTGAGCTACTGTGCACCTTGGTGGTCTGTTTTAAGAAGAAGTTTCCTGGGGGATCTGGCTGGCTCAGTTGGTAAAGCATGTGACTTTTGGTCTCAGGTTATGAGTTTGAGCCTCACACTGGGTATGGAGATTGCTCAAAAAATAAAAGCTTTAGGAAAAATAAAAATAAATTTAAAAGTTTCTTAGAAAGTATTTATTATTCATTTTACTACTAGTTGTTCTTGTGACAGAATTCTTCATACTGTCTTTTAAAAGTTGGATGCCACTTTCAGAGTACCACAATTCTGCAACAAGGTAATCTGACCACTGGTCAAAAATGATTCGCGTATTTACAAATATGATTGAAGAAAGAATTTCTGACACTCATGGCAATAGAGCAGCAATCTCGACTTCAACATCCGAACTTACAAAGATCTAAATTTAAGAGTTAGCTTGCCCAGAGCTATTCAATAAGTTTAGATCAGCACCGCCCAACAGAAGTATAATGTGAGTCACATACATAATTTAAAATTTTCCAGTAGTCACATGAATAAAAAGAAACAGGTGAAATTTATTTTAATAACATATCTTATGCAATCTAATATATCCAAAGTATATCAACATAATCATATTAAAATTATTAAACATAAAAATATTAAATATTAAAAATATAAATTATTAAATTCTTTTTCTGTATTAGGTCTTTAAGATCTGGTTGTGTTTTACACTTATAAGCACATCTAAATTTGGACCAGCCATATTTCAAATGTTCATAGCCACAACATGGCTAGTGCTACCAAACTGGAATGGTATAGTTGTAGATAAATTTACTTTAATTCTTATCTTCTCTCAATTCTGAGTTCTCCTGCATTTCTTACACAGATATTTTGTAAATTCATCCAGTCATTCAAAAAAGAATCTAAACTAAAAAGATGTGCTTAAAAAACACTTTCCATAGAAGGAAACTCCACTTTTGATAATCCAAATCCATCACTCAACAACTTAAATCTGGAATTTTGTCACTATTTTTAATCTAAATCCTTCATTTGGTGGTTTTAAATTATTTTATCTTGCTTAATCTACCAAACACAAAAACAGTGGTCAACATCTACTGTACTATGTATGCAATGCAACATTTGAGAGTACTACGCAACATTTGAGATTTTAAGCGCTGCCCTTTAGATCCTTGTTTAATAATTATAACAACCCTGCGAGATAAATATACCTATTCCCATTTTGAAGAGGAAGAAACTGAGGCCCTGGGTTCAGTGAGGAAAAGAACGAAGTTGTTGAAATCACACAAATAGTAAGTAAAGGAAGCAGCACTAATCACTGAAGCCTGGTGCTCTTTACAGCACACCCCAATGGCTCCTGGGGCTGTATAGTTTTCACATGTGCCCTTCAGACCCAATCATGACAGTGCTAATGTGAAAAGACTAAGTTGGGTGACAAGCTATCAAGACTG